AATAGTTCTCCCGTAGTACTCACACTTCGAAAGTTGGTTTGGGTGTAGAAGGAGGCGAAGGGGGGAAAAAGGAGGCCTGAACCCACCCCCCCCCCCCCCCTCTCCTCTCCTCCATTCCCCCCCCCTCTCCTCTCCTCCATTCCCTCCCCCCAAAAAGAGGCCCTGTCCCCCCACAGGCAAAAAAACTCGAAATGCTGATCCAAGTGTCAGCCGGGCAGACCCTTGCTGGCTTGGCGCGTCTAAGCTCCAAGCCTGGCATCGGGGCAAGCCGATACGCTAGAAACCAAACTTAGGAGCGACTCCCGGGCGCCGGTACTCTTGGCGCATCTCGCTTGGCCGCCACGCGCACAGACAAGCTTCTGTGGAAGGCTCTGGCCCACCGTTTCGAAGCCAGATGTGTCGTGAAGAGATCCGTGGAGGACGACCATCCCACGGTCTTGGGTCCCGTGATGGTCGAGTTGCGCAGGGGTAGCTTTGCTTGAGGCCCCTTGTCGCGGGGAGCACTGCCGTGGACTGTAGCTTCTATTGCTTCTGCCAGCCCCGGTCCGGGGCGTCAAAGGCTCCCCGGACAAGCTGATGCTGGCGAGTTTTTGGTCTGGCGATCTGGCCATCTTCCGCCGCACTGTAATGTCCGGCAACGAAGGAGCAGAGGTCAGAAGGGTAGGCAGGGCTTGGCAGGAGTGGAAAGGCGAGCAACGGTGAGACGGTCAGACCACCACTGGTGAACGGAAAGTTGATTGATCGGCACGCACCCCCAACGTCCGGTTGCGAAACGGGTTTCGGTGTATTGTTTGACTGCCTTGAGTGGAAACGTCTTGTGTGTGCTGCAAGCTTGGTGCTGCAGTAGGAGAGGAGCGAGGTGACGACAAGTGGGTGGGTTCAGTCAGATCTTGCAAGAATGGCGAGATAAGAAGAGGGCCGACTTGGCAGCATCAAGACCTATCCACCTCGAACCGTGTGCTACGCACCAGAGCCGTGACAGAGAAATAGAATGCAAGGCCATCGTCAAGGTGGAGATGATAGACGTACATGGTCGTTGTCGACGGGCAAAGAAGGGTTTTTTCCTTGGTAATTCTGGGGCATCTCAACTGACATGCGTCATGTCTGTTTGGTGTTGAGCAGCAAGAGCAGCGGGACAGCGCCAGGAAGCTTCGATGCAGCGGACGTGCGTGCAGGTGCAGGTGCAAGTGCAGGTGAGGTGGCCTCTGCCCCTCTTCGAACGCAGCGATCATGGTGAGACTCCACAGGCGAAGCTCCCCCTGTAAGTCCCCTGGAACAGGCTCGCTGGCATGCCCGCCCTCTGCGCTCTGCGAGCGGTAGCTATCTCCCCCCCCCCTCTACTCACCACCCCAAAGCCCCAATACCTAAGGTAGGTATTCTGCTGAGTCGGACGAGGGCAAGTCGAGTCACACGAGTTCCCATGGCCTCGTAAAGCTCATCCAGGTTACGATGCAAGCGTAACGAGAAACAAGAGCACAAGGCGCAGCGCCTTCGGTTTGCAGACAAAGATCTGGAAAAATTGCAAATCTGCCCCCGTTGTTCGAATGAGCTTCCCTTCGGTGACGGCATTCTGGAGTCGCCCCCCCCCATCCCACGCCCACTTGGTCCTCTAGCCCCAACTTTTTTTTTTTTGCCTTCGCCTTCGCCGCTGGCGTAGCCCTTTGCCGCTTGCCCGCCTTCGCCTTGCCTGGATCCCCCCTCGTCACTCCTTTCCTCCTGCCCTCCCCCCCTTCCGCTCCGCTCCCACGATTCAATCTTAGCCCCGGCACGAATAAGGTAGCCAATACGGTAGTCCGACGGTGGCACCCACGCCGTTGCCGTTGGGCGGCGCCAGATGAGATTGATTATGCCACTGTAATGCTAGTGCCCAAGCCCAGGTCCAGCCCTGGCCCAAGCAAGCCTCCCTGTCAGGGCGACTGAAGTCAGGCACAACTGATGGTAGTGACACACACATACGCTGCCGGCCACGGCCACCACGGCTGGCACGTTCCCATTGTCTTCTCATCGCTGGTTGCTGCTTAGCTCCGTCTCATCCGGCCCACGGCCGCACCCCCCCATGTCCTCACCCCCCCTTTCCATCCAAACCGTCTTGGGCCCAAGCCAGCCTACTTACCTAGGTAGGACCCAGGACCCAGGCTCCAGAACGGGACCCGTGGCCACGCCGTGGGACGTGGACCTAGCTGAGAACCCAAGTCAGGTACCTCAGACTGACCGGGGCTCGGATTTTGCCAGGACTGAGGAAAAGGAGGATGAGGCGGAAGGGGGGGGGAGGAGGACGGACATGCCCAAGACATAAAAGGCCCAAGGGGTGATCCGTCAGACATGCTCTGACCCGTCTCTCTCATCTTTCTCCTCTCATCTTCAGACAATCAAGCCAGTTCATCACACATACCAACCTTTTGTCTCTATCCTCGCAGCTTGCCGTAGTTGTTTTCCTGATACCCATCGCTTTCCCTTATCTCACGACACAAGCCCACTTGTTGAAGAAAAAGAAGAAGAAGAAGAAGAAGCCACCTAGAAATCTTCCTCCCCATTCACCTCGGGGACCCTCGCAGCCAGTTTTGAGTTCGCTATTGAAGAGCCGTCGTCTTTCTCAAGCAAAGACGGTCATAATCACGTTTCCTGCCGATTCGCCCCTCGCACCTTCCCTCTAGACGACTTTTCTTCGGAGGCCTTTCGCCCCCTTATAACCCACTCGCACCACCAGCTCTCCGCCTCAAAAGATTTTTTCTTTGAGCACTCAAACCAAAAGTCGACCCTAGCATCACTCGCAACTTCCCGACTTCCTTTTATCATCACCATCACATTCGCAATGGCTGCCCACCGCTCCGCTACCCGTGCTCTTGCACGCGCCTTCACCGCCCGCACTGCTGCTGCGCCCGCAGCTCGCGTCGCCCGTCCCTTCTCTGTCTCCGCCTTCAGGGCCAACGCCGTCCACGAGAAGGAGGTTCCCATCGTCAGCTGGCCCGCCACCAAGGATGGCAAGTCCTCGATCCCCGTCAACCCTGGCCAGCAGGCCGTCAAGGAGGAGCCCGCTGAGCCCACTGAGGTCGTTCCTCTCACCGCCGAGGCCTACGAGAAGATGACGCCCATGATGCAGAAGATGACTGTTTACGGCAAGGTCATCATTATTACTGGGTACGTTCCGCTCCATTCACGAAAAGAAAAACGGTGCCTGCCTGGCAGCAGCAAGCTATGTGGCCCGCCCCTGGGATTGGCATGTCTATGTCTTTGATCCATTGCGGACCGCATATGCACGCTGCTTTCGCTTGCATTCCTTCCCTTGTTCGTTTGCTAACTTCGTTGCAGTGGTGCCCGTGGTCTCGGTAACCACATGGCCCGTGCTTGCGCTGAGGCCGGTGCCAAGGCTCTCGTCCTCTTTGACGCCAACGAGGAGCTCGGCAAGGAGTCTGCCAACGAGCTCTACCAGAAGACCAAGATTCCCGTCACCTTCCTCAAGGTTGACGTTCGTGATGGCGACGCTATTAACGCCGCTGTTGACCGTGTCGTTGAGCTTTACGGATGCCCTGACGTCCTGGTCAACTCTGCTGGCATTGCTGAGTACGTCATCGCCCGCCCCTGTGCTCTCAGCACTCCACAAATCCTGGAGCCTGGACCCGCTTGCTAACATGAAGATCGCAGCTCCAACATCAAGGCTGAGGAGTACGACAGCTCCATGTTCAGGCGCCTGATTGACATCAACCTCACTGGTACCTTCCTCATGTCGCAGGCCGTCGGCAAGAAGATGATCGCCCACGGCAAGCCGGGCTCCATCGTCCTCGTCGCCTCCATGTCCGGCACCATTGTCAACTACCCCCAGGAGCAGTCCTGCTACTACGCCTCCAGGCCGGCGTGTCCAGTTCGGCAAGTCCATCGCCGCTGAGTGGGCCAGCACACATCCGCGTCAACTGTAT